CACAATACGTTTATTCTTGACGGCAGTTCACAAGACACGACACGCCCACTCACCAACGCCTGTTATGCAACACTGCCAGTTGCCACGTGATGAAAGCTAGTGCCGGTGTTAACATGCCGTTCCAGCCACGTTTGTTATGTGTTTTAAACGCGTGCAAAACTTGCGGACCAGAAGCTAGTTGCAAGAAAAGTAACTTATAACTATCATAATAATGTCGCAACGAAACAAGCAGAGTGTTCGTAAAGAAATGGTATAATATAGTAACTTAGTATACATTTGCTTTTCATATCTGGATAAATTTTTCAGGAATGCTATGGAGCACACCTGAAAAAGCTCTGGGGCGCACCAGTGCGCACTGTTTGAGAACCACTGGTTTAGACTGTAGTTTATAGAGTTTAACTCTTCAATGCAAAATTCTATGTTAACAAAAATAATGTAATTTATAAGACATACAAATAAATTTCTCCAAGATCTATAAAACAAAAAAAATACAATTGTCACTTAAAATGTTTCTTTTGTGAATTAGGTGACAGTAGTTTATATTTTTATAAATATATAATAAAAACTAACCCCTGTGTTTTTTGAAACCAGTCATTTTCAATCAAGTTGGCTGTGTGAATTACAATTCTCAATCCTGAGTCATAGAGCAGCAACATCATCTTTCTGAAACAATCGTATTTGAGTGATATAAAGATTACCAAGACTTCTGATATGAAAATACTTACATTCATCTTATAAATATATCTAAATATTGAATAAAATTACCTTAATGGTATATGTTAACCAGTATAATAAAGTAAGAACTTAAGTTACATGATACTTTGGAAAAGTAATGAGAACTATCAGTACTGTTCAGTTAAAATAAAAATCAACCAGCTTTTGATACTTAATCCATTACACATTACTAATTTTTATTTTACTCGCATCGTGAAACATCCAGAAGAATTCATAGCAAAAATCTTCACATACTAAATTTATTACAGCTCCAGTTGCGTTAATGAAAAACAAATCATAAACTCTAAACGAATTAATCTTAAAAAAATATAGAAATTATAGTATCATAGTTAAAATATTAAAAAAATCTATTTTTAAACAGTTTTTCTTGAAAGAATTTGAAATTTTCAGGGAGAACTTTGGTAACAAGCAGAATGCTATATTTAGAGATAAAATTAGAGATAAACAGTTGAACGACAACTTTTCACCAGATTAACCTGGTATTATCAATAAAGGAGACATAAAATGCTGGAAGCTTGTATGTCAGTATGTTAACCATATAACCATCAAAATTAATGAAGATAAAACCATATATTTTAGTATAATATTAAGTTACACACTTTCAACAGTCAATGATAAGCACACTTACGTATGATGAGTTCCATACATAATCTCAAGTTTAGCCTAAAACAAAGTAAATACATATTAGAAAAAATATACTAATGTATAAGATATAGCAAAACATAATAATTCCATTTTTGTACATTCATAAGTCTTATTCAGTAACAACATCATGCTATTTGAAAACCGAGTATATTAATTACTGTTAACAAAATACCCACTAGTGATCTTAATACTTTACATGAAAATACTTCTTGAAGCTATGCAAGTTATATTGCATATAGTTTCACAAAAACAATTAGCAAATGCCAAGAAATTTTTAATTTCATATAACATTTTAAATATTTTGTATCTTTAAGTATTTAAGAAAGTTAAGTTGGTAGAGGAATTTGCATACTGTATACATTTAAACTAGAAATCTTAACCTTACATTACACAAGGTGATATTTGGAAAAACTGATGCTGCCTTTTCAAGTGCACTCTTGCTCCCTCTCTGCTCTCCATGAACAATCAACAGGGGACATGATCTGAAAGGTGTTGAAAAACTAATTCACTTATTCATTCATTTGCGTACTAGCAATTCTAAATAAAATCAAATAAAAAAGCTGAATGCTGCATCTACTAGGATTTACTGGTCAATATCAAGATAGATTGCTACAATTAATAAGGAAAATTAATGATACCAGTATGAAAATAAGCCCTATCGTCAACTTGCTAGATTTTATATGAGATGGTCCAAATAAAAGAAAAAGAAGAGTAATATAATATAAAAACATTAGATTAAATGAATCAAATAATTTCAAGGTTTTGGCAAATACTCCTTGTCAAACATTGTAAACTGTGGTTAGAAACGTACTGTGACAACTAAAATATAATTTTAGAGTGAGAATGTCACCATGTAGAGAACATCAAGGTAGTCCTAATTTTTATTGCAGAATTTGTGTTCAGCTTTCATCTTTTTGGTTTAGAGTAATGCACCACTGATGTTTTATACCCATTTCAATGGTGATATTAATTACAATACATATTATCAACCTCACGTTTTCATGACAACAGTTTCAGTTATCTCTTCTTGGGGGTTAGACTGTAGTCCAGAATATTTCATAATTCAACATTCAAACTGTTGGTTGTTACTATACTCTAGAAGCTTAAGATATTTAGAAATTAACAGACCATAAACTTTGCATGTTATTTTCAGGTTACAATCTAGAAGTTTTCACGTAAGAACAATTATATACCACAGCCCATGAGATTCTTAGGTTTACAATCCAAAATATTCAGTTCAATAACGTTGGCACATTAATTGTATATTGCAATGAGGTTTATATTCTGAATTCTTCCATTGCATCTTACACATAATCATTTTCGTTGTATCTCAATCTCAATTTGGTACTTGTATTCTGAAAGCTAAGACAAAGAAGACTGGCACCTTGGAAGCCAGATGAAATGTACAATGCCATACCAACATAAAAAAACAGGAGGTTAAAAGGTTGTTACTTGTTGTGTGTTTTAAATAAAAAAAATTTAATATCCATATCAGCCATTTCTACTTTATATACTTTTAATAATTTTTCTTTATTATATGTTTTTGTTTTGTACATTCATAAAATGACTAATATTTGCAAATTTTAATGCAATATTAATTTACTGACTGTTATTGTTCACTGAAAATCGATGAGTACATTAACATTCGTAATTTATCACATGGTTAAAATGCTGGTATGAATGAATAGATCAAGAATACTGCTTCACAAGTGTTTGCCCTCTGATTTGATTTCAGATGTACCAGTGCCTGTGAAAATTTACATTGGAATATAAACTTAGGGAAGTAAGAAGTGTGCAGTTATACAAATATAACGCATGCACAATGAAGAAAAAGTAAATTTACAGTTTACTTAACACTAAAAAATACAGTTACACAAATTATAAATTACAACAACACTATGTAAAAGCAGTAATTTTTACATATTACTCAATATTAAGAATTATCGCTGGAAGGCCCGCAAGCCAGGCTGATCAAGCAGCCTCCTTATGAAGAATGCAGGTGTGAGAAAAGGATTCCTCCCAGAAAGGAGTGATGAGAAGCCAATCATACGTGTAATAATGAAACAAAGCAGGCAAATGTCCACATGAGCAAATAGATACACAAGGAGCAGACACAATGCCAAAATGAAGAGTACAGAACTGGAAGATCCAATCCCAATGGACCAAACAAAGAAAATGTCTGGAGAGCAGAGCAATTGGAGTGTGTAAAAGGGTATAAGAAACAATGACCTTGATCATCTACATTATACAGTCTGGGTGAAAAGAGCCACTGGAGAGAGAGAAAAGAAATCCTTCATACGAAACTGAGAAATGACAGGTAGAAAACTGGACATCAGTCCCCAGTTTTCTTGGGGACCACAAAAAGACAAGAGTAAATACCCTCTCAATGACGTTCTTGGCTAAGAGATGTGAAAACAGATCCTTGAAACACTGAAGTGAAAGGGTAATAGAGGGAGGAGGAGAAAAACAGAAAAAGGTTGGGATGTGGAGAGATAGGATGTGTGTGAGAACCTGAAGAACTCATCTGTGACACAAAACTGGGAACCAGATGTTGGTTCCTGGAGGTACTGGTGTTGATTGTGTTTGACATACACACATAATGATATGAGTCCTTGGAATGGAAGATCTTCTCCCCTTCCAATTCTTGTGTCTGAAATGAAGAGTAGAGGACCCTCATCCTACCATGGGCCAAATATTCCTATCATGGTACTGTTGGTATTGGTTGTGGTTGAACTCTCTCTTAGGGTCTGCCACACCCTAGCCACTCTACACTAGGAGTCCCTTCTAATTTCTTGGGTCCCTTCTATGAAGTTTGCCCTTACTGCAACACATCATTTTCACGAGTGAAGAGTATACCTGGCTCAGAAGTGGTGCAGTCTCCCATGAGTGTGTCTTACATACACTATATTCACAAACCTCATGGACTTCATTTGGGCACTTTCTTAAGGGGCTCATCTTACAACAGTCCCTCCACCAGGTCAGTGTGGGATTCTAGCTATTCTGTGATAAGAGGTAAGATATTGTACCAGAAGTTAAGACTTTCCTACACTGAAAATGTATTTCTAATATATTCTTACCACACTTTCCACCCTTCCTCACCCACTGCAGGTGTCTTTTCCTTTTCTGTTACTCAATCTCAAAGTGATTTTGGAGTAAGCTGCATAGAAGGAGTCAACTGTGCTAGAAGTTGTGTTGCACTCCTATTGATGGAATATTGTTGCATGCTATCATGCAGCTGCCTCATATGAAAATATGTGAGGATAGGTGGAAGTATCGAGGCTAGTGGCAAGCAAAACTTTGCACATATATATATAGATGGCAGTAGAAGTTGGTAAGAGCTATTCTATGAGAGGAGTTAATAATCTATCGAAATACATTTAGAGTCTATGAAAATGTTAACTTTCTTTACCCTCCATTGGTCCCTTTTGCCTGAACTGTGGATGACCAAGGTTGTTTTGGATGCATTCCTGTACATCCATATCACAGCATCCTCACAACATTTCTTTTGCTTCAACCATCTGGATCATATCTTTCAGTTTTGAGCTCTTCCATTTGGTATTGGCTGGGACTACGATTCCATTTTTACATGGAAGTAAGGCTTCTATTGTCCTACTCCTGAGAAGAGTCTTCCCTTCATACCTCCTTTTTTTTTCTGAATGAAGATGCCTGTATTGGGTGGCTCATCAAAAATTCCAAATCTTTCCTCACTCCCACCCAATAGTTTGCTCATCTGGGAGTTGTCTTCACCTCCTTCTCCCATCTATCTGCAAGCTCTGTGACTACTAGTTGTCAAGATTTTTTCTTCTCCTACTTCGACTTCATGTAAGGTTCTATTGGTTTTGGAGAAGATAGCTTCAATGAAACTGCTTATCTCTTTTGGCTGTGAATATATTTGCCTCTTCCAGTGGTCCTTGCATAACCAGTGGGACCATTCACAGGAACTTTTGACCTCAATGGTTCACTTATTTCCTCTTCTACTTGAGGATCTGTATTGGTGACTGGAACGATACAATAATACCATCAATGTTTCATTACCTCCACCTAAATTAGACTCACTGATTCTTCCCTCTCTGGTTGCAGAGGATCTCTGAATAACAATTTTACATCATGCACATGGACCCAGGATTAGTTCTAACTCCATATTAATGTGCTTGAATTTCTGGCAATCCCTCAGACATGTTCCCATTTCTTATCCCTCCTAGTGGATCATTTAGTTATGATCCATTCTGACAACACAACATTGACAACTGCCGAGGGGATACGAAAACCAGAGCCGTTGCTTTCAAACCCTGGACTTTCTCTATTGGACCAATTCTCAATGGGTTTGTTTCATCGCATGCCATGTGGTGGGTTCTATGAACCTGGTTGCAAACCTCCTCTCCACATCATGTTCTATTAACAGTATGATCTCTTCACCCTCTGGTTTTCCATTTGGTGTGCTCTTTCGTGAGGAATACACTCTATGATACCTTTGCCACCCTTCTTAGTTCCAAGCTTCCTCTCTTCTGGTTTCCTGTTTTTTATCCATCAGCCTTGGCTGTTGATGCTTTCAGCAATGACTGGTTTCATTTCTTCCTTTATCCATACCCATCTCTCTGTCTTTTATCTTGGGCCCTGGTCTTGATTTATAACATTTCTTGTGTCCTCTTTATGGTGCCTTTAGTTACACTGCCTGACAACCGAACCCTCTCTTCCCCTACCACTGATATCCTTTCTCTTGCTTCAACCTCACACATTTGTTCCACCAAGGGATCTCATCCTTCCATCTTCACATTTGGGATTTTTCAGTCCACTGCCCATAGAACAAGGCTCTCTAATCATGTTCCTTTTCTCCTTTCTCAATTACTGTCATCCTTATTCTTTGCCCATCTACTAGCATAAGTGAAGTTTATTTCATTGTTAGTCCATCCATCACAACCTTTCTCCTGACTGTTCTACTGTCAGCCGTCTCTCAACTTTCTTTGCTATACTGTTCAACCATAACCATGGATTAGCTGTCCCCACCCACTGCCAGTTATTAAGTGGCCTTGTACACAACATTTTGTTTTTTGTGATAACACAGAGTGTATTCCTTCCCCATTCTCTCCATCTTGTGTCATTCCTTTCTTCTCCATAGACCTTGTCACCTTGCTCCCATGCCTGACTGGATCACCAGTGTAGTTCGATTCACTCTGACCTCTGAACCTTTTGAGCCATTGGCAACTTGAAACTTATCCCTATGACCTCCAACTAAGCTATCAGAGTGAAAGTAACTTCTGATTAAGAAGTTAGCACACAGGATCACATACAAAAGTTGTAATGGTTTTCAAATGAGACCCAAATCTTGCGTGCTTGCGAATAGTTCACTTTTCTTCTTCAGGAGAACAAAGGGAGGTAACATCACTCTTGTCATATTTTGTTACAAAAAATAAAACTTGTGGGTGAAATTGTTTGAAATTTGAAAGGAACTTTCCTAAAAGTATATTTCCAAAAAATAAAATAATCTAGTATTTTCTGTTTTTTTTAAATAAAATTTGTTATTTAATGTAGTTATTTGCACTGACTCTGAATAGTTCATCTGCAAAGTGATTTCCATGTTAAATATAAAAATACTAACTTTTATCTTATAGTTCTTACATTTCACTAGCATAATCTTTAGAATCTCCTAAATGATATCAAAAGATTTTTTGTAAGGTAAATGTTTATATTTTATTTTCCATTTTCTCTACAACATCACAACCTCTAGCTATTTTCATCACATACAGTGCAATGAAATATTTAAAATCAAGAAACAGAAATATGGATGTACCTTTTAACTCTTTGTTGAATAATCTAAGAATATCTTCTTTGGGTCACATGCATAATTTTCTATCAAATATGTTGATGATACATTTGCTGGCTTTGTTTCCGGACAAATGATTGAACAGTTTTTTAGTATTTTTATATTCACTGCACCCTAACATAAAATTGAGAATGAGGGTGAGTTATCTTTTCTCAATATCATGGTTAGTAGGGTTAATAATGCCTTTAAAACGAAGGCATTTAGAAAGGAAACTCATACTGATTTGTACTAGAACTGGTCGTCAGCTCATCACAAATCTCAAAAAATAGGGATTATAAAAACATCATTGGCTATTGCAAAAACTAATTGCAGTTCAAAAGAAGAGCTGGATAAAAAAGTACATTATCTGTACTGGTGAAGAGGAATGATAATTGTATTAGTGTGGTTAAAAAATACTTATGAACTCATAAATTGATAGAAAATAAGTGAAAGTATTCAAATAATTTAGTTTATTGTGTAATTCCTCATGTACCTGGCTTATCAAATACAATAGAAAGTATGTATACACGTCCAGCTGAAGGAAGTTTTGTTTTTTTACCAGGGAAAAAAAGATTTATATAATCTTTAAAAATAGAATTAAACCAACTACTATTGAGAAAGTAGTAGTTTATAGTGTAGAATGTACAGACTGTAATAATATCTATATAGGGGAGACTGGTAGAAATTTAAATACTAGAATAGCAAAACATAGAAATGCTCTGTCACATGTCTACCAACATTTTGAATACACAGAACGCTGTAATGAAAATAAAAATGTTAGAATTATTTGTCGAGAACCTAATATTAATAAACATAAAATAAACCATTTTAATAAAGGAATACAAACCTTTAATAAATAAAACACAAGGAGTAGGCTTATACTTATGCTAGCTCAAGGTTATGTGGTTGATGTCACCAATTGGGTGTACTTAAGTTTTGTGTATAACTGTGCTGAGTACCTGATGATACCACGTTAACACTGGTGAAATGTTTTTATTTAAATAATGAAGTTTTCCTATCCCATTTTAAATGTTTTGAATTTTAAATTTATGAACTTATTTAAATGTTTCATGATAATTTTTTAAATCACAAAACAAAATCACATTTAAAAGGCTTTTTATACTTGTTACTAATTGTTTTATTAAACAAAAATCTAAAATATTTCAAATCAAAAAACAGAGACAGTCAATCAAACCATAAATTGACTTTCTAGGTCCTAAGGTGTCATTATCAGATATAACCATTACAAAATAGTAATGTTTACTGTAAAGAAGACAAATTACAATTTGACAAAGGTGCTGAAAATGACACACAGTGACATTCTATTTGTATGTCACTTAAAAGTTCTTGTAAGTGTTGAAATCTATTTGTTTTAGGATTCTGCACAAAGCTACACAGAATCATTCCTAATTCTGGTACAAGAGGGATGGCAACTACTCAACAGCACCCACTCTCACCTTTTGGGTTACCCTTGTTTCACTAAACTGTGGAATTTTAAAGTCACTCTTGTAACAGACTCAAGTCCCCAAAATGCAGAATGTACTTTTATCATACAAGGTTACTGTACATTATACTGAACAACAGTTCTCAATGACAAAAGTGACAATCAATTACAATTTTGAATTTGTATTTCCAGTATTAACTTTTAATGACTTACATTGAGTTCATAACTTGCTCTTGAAGTAATTTCTTCAGTATAAAAACTTGAGTACAAAATGCAATTGGATGAATCAAGCCAAAAGCACAATCACTAAGCAACAGCTTCCAAGTATGGTTTATTTTTAGGTTTCAAGTCTTTCTAAATTACATGTTATTAAAATAAAAAATTATAGTACAAAAAATATTTCTATCAACAGCTGTTTTAGCATATTTGATGACAAAAGAAATAAAAATATTTACAATAAAACTTATAATACAAACATTTCATGCTTAATATAAATCGATAATCACAAGACAAGTTTTTTCAGATATCTTGCTTATACTAACCTGTATTCTGCTGGATATTGTTTCATTAGCCATGGAATATCTGTCATATAGTTAAACTGCAAAAAAATATTAAAAACTTAACTTTTAATAACATTTTAAACAATGTAAATTAACCAATCTTACATTTCCTAAGAAATGTATTTACTTGAATCCATTATTTGAGAAAAATAAAAGAGAAAAATGAAAAAGTTAATTCTATCTACAAAATAAACTGTCTGTTTGCTAAACTTTTCACTTTTCCTTCTAAAATCCTCCTAAAAAACAAACCAAAGACAAACTGCTTAATTAATGAACAATTTGGAAATTTAAGTCTATAATCTGTAAGTGAAAAAT